TTCCTGCTCCTCTGAGGCTGCTTGGTCTGCTGTGTTCATCCAGCTCTACACCTTGTTATCTCAGATTCTCCAGCATCTGCAGTTCCTACTATCCCGAAATACATCTTTATCCTTATTTTGCCTTAATCATTTCTTTTAGATTTGGTAGCTGTGGAATGGGTACTTTTTAAAGAATTGCTGCTTTCCTGGTAGATTTTTATTCAAAGTAACTCAGCATCTGTAGTTTGATGTTTGCAACAGAAACACTTTTCTCCCAAGTGATTCACCCAGTTAAAAATTGGGATCTCCTTCCCCAAATTGTCTCAACCATCTCCAAGCCAGACTCTTTCTGAATTGTCTGTGATTCTCAAACAAACTCCTGGCAAATCACTCCCGAACAAGTTTTTGTAAATAATTTAGAATACACGTCCTATGCTATTTTCTTGGCTGATTTCACATTATTCACATTGTTTCACTCAACATCCACATCTTTCTGGAACTGCTGCTATGGTTTACTTTTATTCACAGAAATCAATTTATATTTTAACTTCCAAACATCTTCAAAAATACCAGAAGGTCATGTAACAATAACTTATATTCACCCCACCTAATGTACCACTGCGAAAGAATGGCAATTTGCCCCACCCCCTCCATTTTTCCCCAGGTATATTCAAAATTCCTTTTGTAAAAAGTTACTATTCAAACTGCTTCCATCATCCTTTCAGGGAGAGAGTTTCAAATTACAACTCGCTACACGTGTCCCCAAAGGTTTCCTTGCCTTAAATCTGTACCCTCAGGTTATCATTCCGCCCTGCCAGTGGAAACAGTTTCTTCCTTGACCACTCGGTGCCTAGTCTGTCACCTTCTTGGCCACAAAAGGTAGATAATCTCACGTTCTCTACTTCACTGTGCCAGAGAAGGCGGAAAAAAATGAAACGTTTCAAAGAATGATTCTATAAAAAACTTCCACTAAGGATCGATATATGATTAAGTTGCTTCCATCCATCCACGAAACGAACTCCACGCGACTCTTACCTCCAAGGCTAAGGCCGTTTTGTCATAGGCGCAGGGAACTCGCTTCTGGATGGCTCGGGCATAGATGGGTCCGTTCTGGGTGGTGGGCAGCGGGTTGGTGCCGGTGGGCAGGGGACTGCTGGTCTGGGGCTGGGCATATGCGTGTGCGGGCTCGGGAATGCCGTAGCTGCTGGAGTTGCGGTAGCCAGCCGCCTGTTGCTGCTGCTGGCTCTGGGCCTGGAAGGTCTGCGGCTGCTGCTGCTGGGGCGACGACTTGACCACCACCTCGACATAGGGCACGGGGATCATGCCGAGGCGGCCGTCCTTGTTGCGGGCGCTCCACCACTGCTCCTCGGGCTTCTCCACGATGACCAGCAGCTCCCCCTTCTTGAAGGGCAGGTCCTCCACGTCGTTGCCCGGGAAGTCGTACAGTGTCCGCACATACTCGGCGCTCTCCTCGGCTGCTGGCACCGGAGGCACCGGGCCTTTGGCCAGCCCGGTTGGGGCGACGGTTGGAGCCGATCCGGGGGGTGCCCTGGAGGCCGGCTCGATCAGGGTGGTGGTGTCCAGGTAGTGGATCTTGTAGAACTCGAGCAGGCCCGGCAGGTTGTCGAACTCCTGGTCGCCGATCTTGAACTTGCCCGGCAGGCTGTTAATGATGTAGTGCGACACCTTGGAGTTCTCGGAGACCGACAGCACGTAGTCCCCCGGGCAGGTGCTGCTGTCCCTCACCAGGAAAGTGCCGTGCCGCTGGCCCAGCAGCTTGGCCTGCGCTTCCGGCCGGCTCAGCGGCCCGAAGTACCAGCTTGTCCGGTCGTGGGACTCGAACTTGGCGGCGGCCATGGCCCCCTCCTCCTCCTCCTCCTCCCCCTTCCCCACCCACCCCCCAGCCTCCGGACACAGTCAAACCCCGGTAGCGGTAGCAGCAGCGAGCGGCCGGTGGGTGGACAGGGGCACCAGCGGTCACGGAGGGCCGGCCTCAGCTCACCACCACAAACCCCCTCCTCCTGTTCCAAAACCTCTCCTTCCCCGCTCCGTGTATAGGGCAAAGGGACGGGTGGGTCTCACAGCCGCTTTCTCCTCATGGTCACCTCCCCCCTCCGGTTATCGGTTCTCTCTCAGAGAGACCGCCCGCCCGCCTTCCGCTGGACCCTGAGCAAGATGGCGGCAGCCCAGCTCAGACCCGGGAAGGGAGCGGCGCCATGACGTCGGCGGGCACGCCGGGCGGCGCCGTGACGTCAGCGCGCAGGGCAGGCGGCGCCCTTTTGGCGGGACGACGAAGAAGTTGGTCTTCCATTGTTGTGTCTGTCTGTGTCGTCCATTCCCTCTCCTCTCTTTCCCTTCTGTCTGGAGGGAGTACGCTCGTGTACTTGGGGCGAGGGTTAAAAACAACTCCTCCTGTGGGTTTTTTTATTTTGTGTGGTGCTCGGTTCCTCCCTGTTTTGTACTGATTATTCCCAGTGATCTCTCGAAGCGACCTTTTGGTCTGTTTTGAACGCGATCTGACCTGGAGGTGCTTAAAGAGGCAGCAGGTTAAAGAGACATAGGCTAATGATGCAAGATTATCACGGAGCAGCTCTCTGTAAACAAAAAAAATGAGTTTTAGAGCTCTTACAACAATGAAGAAGAGGCCTTTCAGCCCACTGTGCCCACCCCAGTCATCAAACTCCTAACACAATTCTTTAGCATTTTGGCCCGTATCCTTGCATGTTATGGCTTTTCGAGTATTTATCTGCTTCTTAAATGTTGTGATGGTTCCCATCTCCACCACCCTTCCAGGCAGTGAGTTCACAGATGCCCACCATCGCCTGCGTGAGAAGCCTTCTTCCTCAAGATGCTCTAAACCTCCTGTCTTTTAACTTAAGTCTGTGCCTTCTGGTTATGGATTCCTTTACTAAGGGGAAAAGTTTATTTCTATCTGCCACTTATGATTTTTTAGACCTCAGTCACCTTTCTCTGCTGTAAGTAAATCTAGTCTCTGATTACAGCTGGATCACTCCATCCAAGGCAACATCCTGATGTATCCCTTCTGAATTCTCTCTAATACAATCACATCCTTCACATAGTGTGGCAACTGGAACTGCACGTAGTACTCCAGTTGTAATCTACTAAAATGTAGCTCGATTCTAAACTCCCTGCTGCTGTGTTCGATGCTTCTTAACCACATTATCTAGCTGTCCTGCTGCCTTCAAGGATCTATGATATGCACAACAAGGTCCCTCTGATCATCTGTACTCCTTACAGTCCTATCATTAATTGTGCATCTTTTGACCTGTTAGTTCTCCAAAAACGTGTCACCTCGTACTTTTCAGGATTAAATTTCATTTGTCACTGTTCAGCCCATCTATTTGTGGTACTGTAGTCTAAGGCTTTCCTCCTCCCTATTTGACACACCACCAATTTTTGTGTCATCTGAAAACTGATCACACCTTCAACATTAATGTACACTACAAATAGCAAGGGACTTGGTATTGAATCCAGCAGTATACCTCTATCCACAAAAACAATCTTTAACCATTACCCTCTGGTTTTGCCACAAAGCAAATTTTGTATCCAAATTTCCCTGTATCCATGGGCTGTTAGTTTCTTGACCAGTCTCCCATTCGGGACATAGCTAAAAGCCTCATTAAAGACCATGTAGAATACATCAACTGCAGTACCCTCATCTACACACCTAGTCAGCTTCTTGGAAATTCAATCAAATTTATTGAATGTGATCTCCCCCTAACAAAGCCACGCTGACTATCCTTGATTAATCGTTGCCTTTCCACATGGAGATCTATTCTATCCCTTGGAGTTTCTTCCAATATTTTCTCCCAACATTTTTCCACCCAGACTCACTGGACTGTAGTTTCCTGGATTATCCCTATGACCTTTCTTGACTAATGGTACCTCATTGGCTTTCCTCCAGTCCTTTAGCACCCCTGCTGAATCCAGAAAGGGTTTGAAAGGTAATGTCAGAGCACCTACAACCTCCTCACACAGCTGGGAATACATCTCATCTAGCCTGGGGATCTATCCACTTTCTAGCCTCTAATTCCTCCTCCATCTCAAGGCCAATATGAATTAGTTCAAGTTTATCACTGTTTTCCCCCTCTCTGGTTTCTGTCCCTACACCATCACTATACTGAATATCAATACAATGTACTTTTTTAAAACCTCACATTTTCTGACTCCATTCTACTTTGGTGTTTAATGGGCCTTGCCGAAAACCAAAAGAACTGTGGATGCTGTAGTTCAGGAACAAAAACAGAAGTTGCTGGAAAAGCTCAGGCGGTCTGGCAGCATCTGTGAAGAAAATCAGAGTTAACTGGAGAATATCCCGAGGAAGGGTCATCGGACCCGAAATGTTAAATCTGATTTTTCTTGACAGATGCTGACAGACCTGCTTAGCTTTTCCAGCAACTTCTGTTTTTGTTTGTTTTCTCCCTTTTTCCCTGGTTGTCTTCTTGTCCCTAACATATTATAAAACTACTTTGGATTTTACTTTATTTCATCCACTAGTGTTTTTTTCATGCCTACCTTTCCACTCTCCTAATTTATCTTTTAAGTAACCACTTTCACTTTGTTTTGAGCCCTTGGAATCTGCCATTAACTTCCCCATTTTTTCCTTTAACCAATCCTATACGTCCCTTGACATCCAGGGTTCTCTGGACTTGTTAGTCCTTCCCTTTACCTTTAAAGCTTCTTGTATTTGCGCTGTCACTTTTTGAAGGGCTTCTATTGCTCTTAATGTAGATTTTCCTCCATGTAGTGACTCCTAATCCTCTGGACAGATCCTGTCTTTTCATATTAAAATTGTTGCAGACTATTCGAGTGTATTCTACCATTCAAGTAGACCATTGCTGATCTGATCAATCCCATCATGCCTCTTCCCCCATTACTCTTGATTCCCTTACTGCTTAAAAAATCTGTCCCTCTCAACCTTGAGTATTCTTAAAGACCCAGCCTTGACAACGCATGTAGTTAAGAATTCTACAAATAAACTACCATCTTAGAATCCCTACAGTGTGGGAGCAGGCCATTCGGCCCATTGAGTCCACATCAACCTTCCGAAGAGCATCCCTCCCAAAACCTACCCTATCCCTGTATTTCCCATGGCTGATCCATCTCCTAGCCTACACATCACTGGACGCTATGGGCAATTTAGCATGGCCAATTTATTTATTCATTAAAGGGATGAGGGCGTCACTGACCAAGCAGCATTTATTGCCCATCCCTAATTGCCCAGAGGGCAGTTGAAAGTCAATCACATTGCTGTGGGTCTGGAGTCACATGTAGGCCAGACCAACTAAGGATGGCAGTTTCCTTCCCTAAAGGGCATTAGTGAACCAGATGGGTTTTTCTGACAATCGACAATGGATTCATGGTCACCATTAGATTCTTAATTCCAGATATTTTATTGAATTCAAATTCTACCATCTGCTGTGGCAGGATTCGAACCCACATCCCCAGAACATTATCTGGGTTTCTGGATTAACAGTCCAGTGATAATACCACTAGGCTATCGCCTCCCCTTCCAACCTACACATCTGTGGATTGTTGGAGGAAACCCACACAGCCACGGGCAGAGTTTGCACAATTGTCGGAGGCTGGAACAAACCCAAGTCCCTGGTGCTGTGAGGCAGCAGTGCTAACCACTGAGCCACCATGCCACCCTGGAGGAGAAGAAATTCCTTCTCATCTCTGTTTTAAGTGGCAGACCTCTCATTCTGAGATTATGCTCTCTGGTCCTAGACTCCCTCACAAGGGGAAACAACTTTTCTGCATCTACCTTGTCAAATGCCCAAGAATCTTGTATGTTTCAATGTCTCATTCTTCTATATTCCAACGACAGAATCTACTCAACCATTTCTCATAAAACAGTCCCTGAGCTAGGGAACCTTCTCTGGACTGCCTCCATCACTAGTCTATCATTCCTTAGAAAGGATCAAAATTGTTCATAATATTTCATCTGTGGCCTGACTAGTACCTTGTATAGTTTTAGCAAAACCTTTTGTTTTGTCCCAACCCTTTGAAATAAAGGCCATCATTCTACTTACCTTCCCTATTCCCCTCTGAAGCTGCTAGATTTTTGTGATTTATGCAAGACTCCCAAATCCCTCTGTACTGTGCCATTCTGCAGTCTTTCTCCATTTAAATAATGCTCATCTCCTTTATTCTTGCTGCTAAAGTGCATAATCTCACATTTTCCCACATCCCTCTGCTGTCTTCCTCCATTTAAATCATATTCAGCTCCTGTATTCCTCCTAAATAAATGTGCACAACCTCACATTTTCCCACATTATATTCCATTTGATATCCCTATACAAACTCTTTGTGTCATTGTCACTACTTGCCTTCTGTCCTTTTTTTGTGTCACCTGCAAATTTGGCTATAATACATTCACTTTCCTAATCTAAGTCAGATATATTTAAGATTTTTCTCCATTTAAATAATACCTTCTTTACAAAGTGCATAACCTCACGTTTCCCCACATTATATTCTATCTGCCAAGATTTTGCATACTCACTTGATCTGCCTATATCTCTTTGCAGACTCCTTATGTCATCATCCCTAGTTTTAGCAAAAATGTCATTACTTTTCTACTCTATTCCCTTTGAAATAAGGCCCACATTCCATTTACCTTTCCTGCCACCTCATGAATTTGGATGCCAGCTTTTGTGATTTATGCATGAAGACTCCCAAATCCCCCTGTACTGTGCCATTCTGCAGTCTTTCTCCATTTAAATAATGCTCATCTCCTCTATTCTTGCTGCTAACGTGCATAATCTCACATTTTCCCACATTATATTCCATCTGCCAAGTTTTTAATCTCTCGCTTAATCTTTCATAAGAACAGAACACAAGAACTAGGAGCAGGAGTAGGCTGTCTGGCCCTTCAAGCCTGCTCCGACATTCAATAAGATCATGGCTGATCTTTTCGTGGACTCTGATCCACTTACCTGCGTTCTCACCATAACCCTTAATTCCTTTATTGTTCAAAAAAAATCTACCTTTTCTTTAAAAACGTTTACTGAAGTAGCGTCAACTACTTCACTGGGCAAGGAATTCCATAGATTAACAACCCTCTGGGTGAAGAAATCCCTTCTCAATTCAGTCCTAAATCTGCTCCCTCTAATCTTGAGGCTATGCCCTCTTGTCCTAGCTTCACCTGCCAGTGGAAACATCCTCTCTACTTCTATCTTATCTATTCCCTTCATAA